TTACCCATCTTATAAATTATAGATAAAAAAATTATATGAAAAATTGATTTCATTCGAATACTCATGGTTATAGTTTAAGAACCAAGAATTTGCCCTAAATAGAAAAGTTTAAGTATTATGTTTTAGGTCCAATCAATCTTGGATGTAAACACTTGTAATATGATTGATGCATTTTATTTATGGTAGATCTATTATTTAGTTGAATTAATATTGTAATAAACTAAATAATAGAGTCTGTAGAGTCAGGTCTTGATAACTTGTTAATAATGAGATAAGGATATCGTTATTACAGATAGACCATCACTTGTGACATTTCTTACTTGTGAAGTAATTAACTGATCTCACAAGTTAAAGTATGGTGACACTTAAATGAACGTGCGAATGTTTTGTTATAAGAACAAAATATTGGAGACTCGCTGGAAAGATTCCACGTGGATAGCTATTTGAGTATTAATTGTTAATCGCCAATGTTTAGTAGTGAAATTGGTCATTCGACTTGAAATCATTATAGTGCCTTATATGGGAGACAGTCATACTTTGGTAATGTTGGGTGTTTTTTTGCCAATAGTCGCTAATACGGCATCGTTCAGATATTTTAAGAATCATATGAATGTTATGAATAATAGAGGATTTGTCATTCTTAGATAGTAAAAAATTATGATCTACATTTCATTTAATTAAGTTGATAATGAAATCTGTGGCTAAGATGTGCTCATAAGTTGAAAAGAGTTTTTGATTTACATTGACTTAATGTGATGAAAGATATGATCGATAATTGAGATAGACACATATCCATATCTCATAATTGATCGGATCATATTGACGAAATGATTATAGTTTCACGGTAAACGAACAAGTTTGATTTTGTCATACTACATGATATTTCCCATCACATGTATTGCCCGACACATTGCTAGATGTCAATCTGGGACAACGAAAGTGAATTAAGTGATAAATTAAAAGGGGCGTTTTAGTTTATCGATTTTGATTAGATCAAAATAATAATTCACGTTGTTAGACATTGTGATCAGGAACCTAATGGGTCACACACAAAAGAGAATCAGAAGAATGAGATTTACCAATTAATTAATTGACAAGTGTTGGATAATTAATTGATTGGGTTGTTTATTAATACGCACGGATTAATTAATTCATGGACCAGATTTAATTAATTTTTAATTAATTTGATTAATTAAATATTGGACCGGGTTAAGTTTAACAGATGGGCTGAGTCCATTTGGACTTATATTAATAGGCTACTAGGGTTTGAAAACAGTATGGAATTTTTCATTATTCTTGCTAGCACAAGAAAAGAAAACCCTAGCCGTCATTCTTGTTCTCTGTGTGGATCACCATTG